ATGCTGAGGAATTTCCCTTCTGTTCCTATTTTGCTGAGAGTTTTCATCCAGAATGGGTGTTGGATTTTATCAAATGCCTGTTCTGCATCAATTGATATGATCATGTGGTCTTTCCCTTTATCTAATGTTGAACCACCCATGTATACTTGATATGAACCCCACTTGGTCATAATGTATTATTTTTTTGTTATGTTGCTGGTGTCTATTGGCTAGGATTTTGTTGAAGATTTTTGCATCTATATTTATGAGGGGTATTGGTCTGTAGTTTTTTTAGTAGTGTCTTTGCCTGGTTTGGTATCAGGGTCATGCTTGCTTCATAAAATGAATTCAGGAGTATTCTATCCTTTTCTATGTTCTCGAATAGTTTGAGTAGGATTGATGTTAGCTCTTCTCTAGCAGAATTCTCCAGGGAAGCTGTCTGGGCCAGGATTTTGTTTTTGGGGTAATTTTTTTTATGACTTACTCATCCTCTTCAGTTATGGGTCTTTATAAATTTTCTACCTCGGTCTGTGTTAGTTTAAGTAGTGTGTTTCTAGATATCTGTCCATTTCTTCTCGATTTTTCAAGTCTGTTGGGAGTACAGGTCTTTGTAGTATCCTTACAGCCTTTTTATTTTGCTTAATTCTGTTGTGACATCACTCATTCCATTTCTTATTCGTGTTATTTGCATCTTCTCCTTTATTAAATTTGCCATTGGTTACTCAATTTTATTAACTTGTTCAAAGAACCAACTTCTAGTAGATTTTTTTCTATTGTCTTTCTGTTTTGTTTCATTTATTTCTGCTCAAATATTTTTATTCTTTTCTTGTGGTGACTGTAGACTATCCTTGCTGCTCTTTTTCTAACTGTTGGAGATAACTGGGTTAAGGTGTTGACTTGTGCTTTTTTTCATCCCAAAGATTTTTGTGTTTGTTTTCATTTTTGTCTATGTCAAAGAAAACTTCCTTTTCCATTCAGTAGTTTTTAAGGGGGTGGTATTCAGTTTCCATGTTGTTGTTGTTGTTGTTATGTGCTGTCAAGTCGGACCTGACTCATAGCAACCCCTCCTTGGGTTTCCGAGGCAGTATCACTACGGAAGTAGATTGCCCAACCTTCCTTCCGAGGAGTGGTTGGTGGGTTCGAACCTCCAGCCTTCTGGTTAGCAGTCAGGTGCCTTAGGCACTGTGCTACCAGAGCTCCCTCAGTTTCCATGGGTGGGTTCTTTTTCTGTTGATTTTCCTGTTGTTGATTTCTAGTTTTATAGCATTGTGATCTGATAAGACGCTTTGCATTGTATTTTGATGTTCTTAAATTTATTGAGGCTTTTTGCTTTGTGGCCTAACATATGGTCTGTCCTGGAGAATGTTCATGCGCCTTGGAAAAGAATGTTTATTGTGTTATTTTTGGATGAAGTACTCTGTACGTGGTCTGTAAGGTCAAGATTGTATTGTTCAGTTCTTCTGTGTCTTTGAGTCTCTTTCTAGTTCTTTCATTGAAAGTGGTGTATTAAAGTATCCTATTATGACTCAACAGCACATAACAACAACGTTATGACCGTGGAGTCATCGCTTTGTCTTTTCAGTTCTGTTAAAGCCTGATTTATGTGTTTTGGGACTCTTTAATTGGGTGTGTAGATGTTTATCATGATCATGTTGTCCTGTTCAGTTGATCCTTAATCATTACATAACAGTCTTCCTGTCTCTTTGTCAAATTTTATCAAATTAATATTGCCACTACTGCTCTTTTTTGATTGCCATTTGCTTGATATATTGTTTTCAAACCTTTCATTTTTAGTGTGTTTTTGTCTTTGTCTCTCAGGTGTGTCTTGTGGACAGCATATTGATGGGTTATGCTTTCTTATCTAGTCTGCAAGTCTCTGTCTCTTGAGTGGTGCCTTTAACCCATTGACATTCAATGTAATTATTGACAAGTATGATTGGTTCCTGTCATTTTGTTAC